CATTTCGCGATTTTGTACACAGAAAAAAAGAATATTCCTGTTTGGAGAATATCTTTATTGTTGGCGTTTTAAAAATAAGATTAATGTTAAAATGAGATTATATAGCGTTGAACTAAGATAAATCAGTCTTCAATCAAAACAAATGTAGTCAACACAATCATTTTCTCATATATAACAAACAATATTGATATTCTTGCTTATATCTAAAAAAAATGATTGTGTTAATTTGATTATATATTCATCTTGATTAAAGATTAATAATATATAATCAAAAATATTAATATTGTAATATTGTTATATTGTAATATTATAATATTAATATTGTATTATTTATGAGAAAATGTGTTAATTTGTATATAATCTCATTTTAATATTATTTAAAAAATGTCAACAATAAAGATATTCTTCAAACAATAATATACTCTTTTCTGTGTATATATTCACTATTCCTCTCAAAATAAATATTAAAAGAAAGTACATGAGCAACATAACTCCTGGGGCAATATAGCCCCAGTTTCTCCTACTTGTTTCATTCCAAAAAAGAAGTGCGACCTAGTTTTAGCTTCAGCTAAAAAGAACGGACCTATTAATCCTGTTATTTAAATCTGGACACTCGTAACGACGCTTCTCGAAGAAGAGACAGTGGACGAGTCGAGAACTCGGAGACCTCGAGTCCAAACTATCGGAATTCCGTTCGCGAGCAACTACTCCGTCGGTCGTCAGCTACTCGAATCGAGATGGAGAATCGCGAGTAAACGCGTGACCTTGCCCGAAGACAGCCAGCTCGCGCGTCGATTGCTCCCTCGTCTCTCTTTTCCCTCTCTCCCTCTCTTTCTCTCTCCCTCTCCCCTCCCCTAGAAGTATCGTGTGTAAACTCTCGGCACCAGTAGGTATATACCTTCGCGCTTGAAAATCGCAAGCCGCTATCACGGCTCGAGAGAGCTATATCGTGACGTGTTTGATAATTCGACAACGAAAGGCGTTCCACGCGAGCCTCGAAAGGTGAAAGGTCAGGCAGTAACCAACAGCCTGGAAGACGCTCAAATATCTAAGTACAGCGCGCCCGATTCGGAAGTACCAATTATCAACCAAGCTAAGGCACACTTGACCCTGTACGCTGGGGCTGTTTTAATGCCGCCCAGTCGGCGAAACCTTGTAAGGTAGCTGAGACACCGCGATTCTCGCGATCGCACGAGAGTATGCGCGTACATAATGCGCGCCTCAAAAACGTTCCTCGGCGTTAAGGACGCCTCACCAAATTCTAATTAATTCAATATGCGATTGATTCAGCCGGCAGAGTTGCCAACGTGGAAAATGAAAGTTTCTTGTTAAAAAACAAGAAAAAATTCTCTTGGTCTTAATAATCTATACAGAGAAAAATAACACAGAGAGTTATTAATAAATAACACAGAAAAAAATCATTCTGCTGCTATGAGAAATGATTACTTGGCTGTAATATTAAACTTACTAGGATTCAGAATGTATTTTAAATAAATTTAACACTTATGATGATCTTATGATAGATTTGCGGATATAACTTATAAAATACTTGAAACAAGTAACATTTATTTGAATACAGTATGTACTTTTCTGTGTGTACATTTAATATACTAATGCGCAGAATTATTAATTTTCTGTTAATTATTAATTTACTGTACTGAGAAAGAAAAGATAATTAATCTCACTAAAATTTTTTTTTCGTTGTCAACTATATCTTCTTGTTGTTCTAACAGAAAAAGTAGCAATATACATGAATATTTTTGTTATATCATTGCAACGAATTTGCTAAATTTATACTTATTGTAATAAAAATTTACAACAAAATTTTTAATCTTGGGCTATATGTGGCCGAAATTACTATATTTGTTTAAAAATGTTACGCACATTTGACTTTTACTACAAAATTATCGTAATTGCTTGAGTGTTTTTTATATCATATATATTCGGTAAATCTTCAAATTTACTATTTGTACAGTAACTTATACAGCAATATCAGTATAGTGTAGCTTTATAAAAAACATTGTAAAATAAAATATACAAACTTAACATAGTTTTTACTATATTTTCTCCGTGCACATGTGAGATTATTATTATTAATATTACAGCAACACGCTTGTCACATAAATGGTTTTTCTAATTATAATTTTTCCATTATGTGATTATGCTGGTAAATATCAAACACTTTTGGACGACAAATTATGTAACTGAAAATTGCTGTTGACAATTTTCTCGGTTGGTTATCGATAAATTTAACACATTAAATTCCGTGTTGGTGACCGACGCTATGATATTACCGTGCCTTACCTTATCTAAATTAGTGCATGAGATATAATTGCATTTGGAAACTTAGTTATACATAGCCAATGGAGAACTTCGTTGAAACGAGGTAAAAAATATAACATGTACTTCAGTTACATTTATTCATTATTCGTATCTTTGCTAATTTAATCGTTAGTTAAATTTTAAAACACAATGAACGCAAATCAACGCGGCAATCAACGTGTTAAGCTTAATCGACGAGATTAATTCAAACGCCGGAGTTGCCTATGTGGAAAATAAAAGACAATTTGTCGTCAAAACGAGCCAGAAAAGTTTTCTTGTTCTCTCATTATAATCCACATTTAAAATTGCTTTTAGCCGTGTATCAAGAGTTTTATTTTCCTGACGCGGAATTATTAACCTTTTTGTTATTGTCAGGCGACAAATTGCATAGCCACGAATTGCCGTTGGCAATTTTGCCGGTTAATCCTCTATTACGCCATGTTACTTTCAATGGAAAGTGTCATATCCACACGCAAAAAATAATTCTGTTGGTGCAACCGAATTTTCGGTTGCTCAGGGATTAAACGAAAACTCGGCTGTAAGAACAGAAAAATTCCTTTATAAGGCTTCTGTACAGTCAATTGTTCTCAGTTGCCTCAACCAAATTCTAATATCATTGAATGTGCAGACGAATATTTTCGGTTGCGACAATAGAAATATTAGTTTTCATAACAGAGATATCGTTTCTGATCATCTAATTTTCAATTGATTCCTATTTGGTTGCACCAACTGAAATTTTTTTGCGTGCATGTATTTATATATTTCTAAAATCTTCAATGTTACGAACCCCAATGGGGACTTATTAATAGCTCTAGCAATATACAAAATATGATATGAAAAAGTATTGGAATGTTATAATTTTATAATTTAATGATTACATAAATTAACGCTTAACTGGCTCTTGGCTCTTTAGTCCTTTTTCATATCATATTTTTTAAAATCCGATGTTTTGTTCACCGCGAATCATAACTTTAAAGCAATGATATTGACACCAAATATTTCGCTTATATATGTGAGAAAGAATATTATAGTTTTCTTTTTCATATAAATTCTTTTCAATTTCATTGTATTTCTGTAAAGAGTAGTGCAGTAATAGACTATCAGTAAGATCTATATTGCCAAAAAACAAATTTCGCTAGAGGCATGACAAATTTTTAATAGCACATGTTTCAATTCCTAAAACATATAAGTAGTAATATATAAAATGAAATTCAATTACTGCAAAATGTCGATTTGTTCCTCGGTTGCAGAATACAATAGTAACTTTTATATATAATTAATTTTCATATAATGAAACATAATTAAATATAATTAATTTTCATATAATTATATTTATATTCATATAATTATATTTCATTATAATTGGCGATATAGTTATGTTTCTTGCGTTATAGTTCTTGATATAGATCTTGATATAGTTATATTAAATGCAAGAATGATCCAACTTAACACCCCAATTCAAATTATGATTTTTGAATCTTTTCTTTTTACCAATGAGTAATCTAAATGTCTTTTTATATAAAATAAAAATCCAAGCCTTGTACGCATCCAAAATTAATTAAATTAATTAAATTAAGTTTTTATTTTCTTTTAGTTGCGTCTTTTTTAAGAGTTAAGTTTATTTTAAGAGTTAAGTTTACGAATTTATTTTAAGAGTTATTTTTATTTTAAGAATTAAGTTTACGAATAAATGCTCTTAAAAAGAAGAAGAATTGATCGTACTTGACTTCTTGAACGATGGCGAAAAACCACAATGCTATCTATACTTCTCATATATCAAATTTTTATCCTCACTTTTTTCGAAACGCACTTCATTTTGTATCATTCCCCTCATTGTATAACTACGAAAAACATTTCTTCACGTAGCAGTTACACTAAGAAAAGAAATATGTAGAAAATAGTAAATATTTATTTGTGATGACGCTAGTAACATATTTACTTAAATCTAAAGCTTTTATTTAAACAATTGCTTTCACGAAAAACTAAAGTTTTCTTGAGGTTTTAAGGAAATGTACATTTAAAAAATATTTTACATTTTTAAGTAAATATGTTATTAGTACCTATTAAAAAGTAAATATTCCTTATTTCTTGAATATTTTTGTTCTCAGTGTAGTTCCTACTTCTTACGTTTTTTCTTGCGTATTATTCGAAGGGGCAGCCAGACACTTTTAAATTAAAATTCAGTTGCAAAGTTCCCACAATCCGTGTTTGTCATTCTCATGTTACGTCATTTCTTTAAGCCGACATCGGGTTTCAGAGGGTCAGTTATCAGTTAGTTTAATCAGAACGTGGCGAAAGTTACCCTGTAAGGGTCTTGGCACGTAGAAAAATTTTAATCGTAACCGTAAGGTCGTAAGAAAACTGACCGATCACAGTCGATTATTCCTCGAACGCAAGGAGAATAATCAACTCTGATTGGTCAGTTTTCTTATGACCTTACGGTTAAAGTGATTTTACGTGCAAAGGCCCTAAGATTCGACTGCGCCCCGAGTGCAGCTCGAATGCCATTAATGCAGCCGATTGTACCGTGCCATGCCGCCGCGTCGGTGCGTCGGCGGCGGTGGCGGCGGTCCGGATCGGCGGCGGAGGACGATCAATATACGGCGGCGTGCCCGCGAGGACGCGCGCGAGCGCGCCTGCGTCCTCGGCAATGCCGTGGAGTAGATAGGTAGGTAGGCTGATCCGGGTCCAAGTCGTCAGCACACCACGCCAAGAGACGACTCCAGTAGTCACGGTAGAGCCGGCAGTCGTACCTACCTACACCTACCTACCTGTCTCTATCTACCTACCTGGCTGACTAACTAACTACCCGCCTGCTCGACCTATCCGGGAGAGAGAGAGAGAGAGAGAAAAGAAGAGGCCCACCGACCTCTCGTGCAATCCGCTATCGTGTGCTCCGTATCCCCGCGGCGAGAATCGATTCTGCTCTGCGACACGACAGACCTGCTCCACTTTTTCCCGTCTCTCTGTGTGTCTCACTCGCTCTCTCTCTCTTTCTTTCTTTCTCTCTGTCTTCTTCGCCTCTCTCCTCCTCATCTTCTCTCTCTCTCTCTCTGTCTGCCTTTTTGCCTGATTCCTCCTCTCCTGGTGATTCTCTCTCTTTCTCCTCTCTCTCCTCCTCGAGAGTGCCGTCGGGGAAGACGTGCAGGGGTGGGTCACGTACCTGGTCCGACGACGGTGACGACGACGACGACGACGGAGACGAAAACAGCGGTAGTCACCGTCGCAAATCACGACTTATGCGTCTGTACCGAGCAGGTAACACTCTCTATCTCTGTATCTGCTTCTCCGCCTTCTTCTCTCTTCTTTTCTTTTCTGTTCTCTCGCAGAGAGAACTCCATTTTCTAGAATATCGAGAAACGTTGCACTCTTGCCCGTTGCATTTCGCTCGTTCTCTCTCCCCTTTCCCCCTCTCTCTCTCTCTTTCTATCTCTCTTCCACTTCCGTCTCTCTTTCTCTTGCGTTTTCAGCGAGTGCACGTTTTCTCTTCGCGGGGTGCCACCCTGGAGTCGCGAAGAACAAGATCGCCACCGAGTAGACCGACGAGATTTAGAGCCGATTTTTCAACAGCAGCTTTGAACGTAGATTTTAGTTCAAACTCTGTTCTAACAAAGTGTGTCTAACGTATTTAAACAAGGATTAAACTTAAGCCTAAGTTTAAGCTACCACTGAAAACTCGGCCTTTAAGGTGACTTTTTCCAAATTTCGATTAATCTAATGGATGATTAGCTGGCAGAGATTTAGTAATAGCAATTTCTAATTGCGTAGTTTTCGGCATCAGACAATAAGCAAAAGATTCATAACTCTGTGTATATTAATAGAAAATGTAGAGTACTTAACATGTGGCCGCTAGCAATTTTACACACAGGATATAAGATTCTATACTCGCTTTGACAACAAACTGTCTTTTACACTGAGAAGATGATATTCGGAAATTTATTTGTGAGAATTTTACATACAGAATGTAAAATTCTATACTCGCTTTGACAACAAACTGTCTTTTACACTGAGAAGATGATATTCGGAAATTTATTTGTGAGAATTTTACATACAGAATGTAAAATTCTATACTCGCTTTGACAACAAACTGTCTTTTACACTGAGAAGATGATATTCGGAAATTTATTTGTGAGAATTTTACATACAGAATGTAAAATTCTATACTCGCTTTGACAACAAACTGTCTTTTACACTGAGAAGATGATATTGTGAAATTTATTTTGTATAAAATTTCTTTATGTGAAACAAGGTTTATTTCTGTGAAACAAAATAAACTGTAAGAGAGTAAACTTTATATTTCTGTGAAAAAGTAAACTCGCCAAGCAACTTTCAGGTATTTCCTTCTCAGCGTGTTTTCTATTTTAGCAACTCTGCCGGTTGAATCGTCGATTAGCTTGATCAGAATTTGTAGGAAGTCGTCACCCTTGTGTCGTCTGCTCCACGATAGTCTGAGGTTACTATCTCTTTCGTCATACAAGATAAATAACTCACAGTGTTCGGAAAATCTTTCTAAACACTCGACAAGTGTTTGAATTCGAGGCTGAGATCGCGAAGCAGAAGGCAGCGGACATTCCTCCGGCTCCTCTGTTTCGTGACTCGAACTCGAAATTAGTAAAGCAATTTTCGTCGGTGAAATTACGCGACGGGATAATCAGTGTGCAGCAAAACGTCTCTTCTCTCTTTCTTTCTCTCTCTCTCTCTCTTGTCTGCCAAAACGCATCTGTGAAAATACTGTCGGCCGACGTGGCAGTAGCGCGCGCGTTTTCCTGCCTTGACAGCTGCCAACGTGTCTCAATATCGCCGCTCTCACGTAATAACCAAGATATTTCTGAGCAATGTGGACAGATATGTGTTTCGGTAATTCGCCAAGCACGCGCGTTATCCAGATATTGCAACGCTGTAACATTCAAACAAAATAAGATAACGAAGTAAAAATGAAAATTGCTGATATATCTCGGTAAATCAGAGCCACTCATGAAGAAATATCTCCTACCAGAGAAAGAAAGAAAAAGAAAAAGACATGTTGATTCTCCTTGTTCTTTGTCAACATGAGACGAGGAACATCGACAAATATCCGTTATTCTGCATTGAGAAAAAAGTGATATTTTTAATTATAATCGCATAACGAAAGAATTGTAGTTAGTAGAACCATTTTTTTCCCTGGTAAATATTATTAGACTATCAGTGATAATAATCTAACACTATGAGCAAAAATACTTAAAAATTTATTTGATATAAAATTTATTCACAGAAATAAACTTTATATTCTACAAATAAATTTTCAAGTATTTTTTCTCAGTATATACAATATGAAAAACGTTCAAGTAATTATAATAATCTTGTATTAAATCAAACAACATAACATCTTTAAACAAATATATAGTAATTTCGGTTATAATTCTATATGGTCCATAATTATACAAATTTGTAATTTTTATTACAATATTTTTTCCGTGTATAATTGGTGCCAAAAGGAACTATAATTTTAATGAAATTAAACATTTTTTTTCTCAGCATACTGCTGTTATTAACACAATCCTCCGTGGCCTTCGTTAACTAAAATCATTAGTCGAATTAGAAACACACACTTATACTAAGAAAAGTATTAATTTATAACTAATAATAAATCGCACGTAGTGAAAGAATTGTAGTCAGGGGAATCGTTTTTGTAGTACGTGTTACTATAGCATTACTGATAAAAACCTTATATGCAAATTGATAGTACTATGTTTTATAACAACAATATAAATATAATTGACGTCAAAGATAACTGTAATTTCAGATACGTTAATTATTTCTTTTGCTTAGTGCGCTCAGAGATTATTAAGGCGGCCAAACAAAAAAAAATCTCTAACTCACTATGATCTGAAAATTATAAGTCGCACAATTCTCCGTAATCATCATTTCGCATTTATATTATCTAGAGGCACGCAAGACAAAGATACTAAACTAAAATCGACCTCGATTCTATATGATCAAGAACTACAATCTTACCACCTCGATGTGGCTTAAGAAAACTCACGGACGCGCGAGCCCGTTAAATAATGCTTGAGCATTATGTCAAAACTTTGCGATCGAGTTTCTCTGTGAGAATGCCAGCGAGAAACGTACTTTCTCACTGGTACGCCGGTTAATTGCGCGCACTTTGCAGTCGCGGTGGACTACTCGCGACGAGCGCGCAGGGAAAAGAGAATCCGAACGACGGGCGGCGACAACGACGACGACGACGACGTCTGTCGTATTGCTCTCCTCATTATGTCGATATCGAATTAGAGCAGGACGATACCGTCTTACGAGAAAAAGGCACCTTAATAAGCAGCAGCGATTGCCTTAATGGAAAAGCGTTACTTATAGCGCGGTAAATGGAGCGCACGAATCAATATTAGTAACACTAGTTATATTGTAAACAACTATACGCCGGGTGTAGAATTACGAGCCCTGCTATGCACGACGAGAGAGAAGGGAAGAGAGAGAGAGAGAGCGCAATACGAACTCTTTGGGAAACGCGAGTCGCATTCGAAATCTCTCTCTCTCTCTCTCTCTCTCTCTCTCTCTCTCTCTCTCTCTCTCTCTCTCTCTCTGGAATACCAAATCGATAGGATATCCTGCGCCCCGACGAGAGGGTAGAGTACTGCACAGGCGGGGGTGGAGAAGTGTCTTATTATTTCGCGTCGCGTACGACGGAATATCCGAGACGCTGAATCGATAGGAATTCACCTCCTCTCCCGGTTATGTCTCATTATTTATAGCACGAGATTAATTTCACGCGATATTTTAACGGCCCCGGCTCGCCGTTCCGTACTTACCTATGTGTGTATGTGTGACACATTGTCTCGTTTGCCGAAGTGGATTGGTAAAAAAGCAGCAGTGCTTTCGTTATTTTATGGTGAGAGATTCGCGTCTCTTCCCTCCCCCTCTCTCTCTCTTTCAAAATAAACGATTTCTCCGTGAGACATGTTTTTCCATCAGGTAACGAAGAGACATTCGCGATGAGGCTATTCTCGATGAGAAGCACACCTTATACACGTATAACATTAATATCGCATCGTAATATATTCCACTGCGAATTCATATTAATATCATAAGCGCACGAAATGATATTTCAACGCATGCCATGAATACCTCGAGATTAATTTTGCGCTATAAATAATGTGGCACCCTCAAGAGAGAGAGAAAGGGAGGGAGAGAGAGAAAGAGAGAACCCTCTCTATCGATTTGGTATATTATTAATACTGCATATATATTAATAATACGCTCACAAATAAATCGGGATAAATCAAGCAGGATCGCCAACACACGCACACACATATTTTTACCCGTTACTACATACAGCAAAATACATACTGCATTACAAGTAAATGTTACTTGCTTCAAATATTTCATAAGTTTATATATCTGCAAATCTATCATAAGTTCCATAGGCATCGAAATTTTTTTTTTAAATCTATTCTGAGTCCTAGTAAGTTTAGCATTCCAATCAAAAATATTAAATTAAGGTACACATTCGGCTTTGCTTACTTATATAAAATTGAACCAATCTTTTCCTCGATAAAGCTTTATAATATTCTTCTAAAGAGAATAAAAATTTTTCTTTCGAATACATGATAATGAACCTTAATCGAGTTTGTGATGAGTATATTTTAAGACTATTATCAAGAAAATATTTTTTGTTGAAGGTAATCATTACTTAGAAGAAGAAAAGTAAATGAAGTAATTAGCAGTATAGTAGTTTTCTTAGCAGAATATTTATTTCTTTGTAGGATCGCCAGATACCCAGATGTATAATACAGATTTTACCATCAATATTCAGCGAATATTAAAAATATCCCGATCATTAAATATTCCAAGCTAAATACCAAATTATTGAATACTATTTTAACTTCTCAGTCAGTATTAATTTTATGTGGGAAACCGTTTCATAATATATTTTGTGCTCGCTATTGTCAATTATAATTATAAAAAAGGTATAAATTATATTCTCTTATATAATCACATTCTAGCTATAATATATTTATTTATCTTTATCGTAAAATTGTAAGTTTGTTGTGATACATTCTTAAAAAGATATATATTTTTTTAAATTATATTTCCTATCTTTTATTTGGAAATGTAGCGATTTTTCAATTTTCTAACAATCTTGACTTTACAGACAGCAAAATGCATACTGTATTCATGATATATTGTTTGAAGCAAACAGCAAATTTTGATAATTTCTTCTTGTATTTCTTTCATATTTTTATTTTGTCATTCTGTGTGATAAGTGCAACCTAATTAGTGTCACAAGCGTCTCAATGTTGCTGAATTTCGTGACTTAAAGTTGCTGTGTAAAGTTTACGTACATACATCAGTCAACAAGGAAATATTTTTTGCTCAAGACAACCATTACGCAAAGGGAGAAATGTAAAGGAGAAATTTCGCTTTTCTCAGCAGCGGTATGCCATCTTTCTGTGTGCACCCGCTACCTAGGCGAGCCTTCATTTATTCGTGAATCGACTGCACTTGTTCCCGAGCGAGACTGGCGTTTCTCCTCGTCACTTCCGCCGCAGCTCATCCACATTTCCGCGAGCCTCCTCTCAAACAACGTCCAGCGCGCGACCCTCGCCCTCGACTATCATGCTGCTGTTGTTAACGCGATCCTCTGCGCCACGTGATAATTATTCGAACGGTCGTTAGCCGAAATCACCAGCTGAATGTGAGACGCGCCTCGCTCAGATGACCGTCCGTCAACCGCCCCCTCGGAAATTCCTCTTTGAAGTTACTCGTGCACATGTTGCCGCACTCCGCCCGCGCCGGATCGAAATTGCACTGAGGGAGCAATCCGCTCCGAATAGGATATCTTCTTGCTGCCGTCGTCGCCGTCGTCGTCGTGGTAGTCTTGTTGCTTCCGCTATCCGGAACACACACGCCCCAGTGATTGGCTCGTTGTGTCGCGACAGCCTATAAAGTGACGATGACGATGATAAGTGCGAGGTCAGAGCGAGAGACGATCGACAAGATAGTCGCGGCCGCGTGAACAACAGAAGGAATATAAAAGGAAAAAAGAAACGTATTATTCAATACGCGAAAGAGTTGCGCGACTCGCGACCGGATGATTTCCTCCGTGAGGGTAATTGCTACGAAATTAGGAACTGTTGAGTCTCGTCAAAATTGAAGGCTTCAGACTCTTCTCTTTCCCTTTCTTCTCCTCTTTTCTCTTTTCCTCTCTTCTCCTCTCTCTCTTCTTATCTTCTCCTCTCCTTTCTTTTCTTCTCTTCTATTCTCTTCTTTTCTCTTCTCCTCTCTTCTCGTCTCCTTTCTTCTCTTAACCTTTTTTTCTTTTCTCTTCTCTCCTCTCTAACTCTTTCACGTTAAATGCTCCGATACTCTCGCGAGAGAAACTCGAATACTAGAAATAAAATTACTAAAACGCAAACCAATAACATGGAGGATACGTGACTACGGGAAGAGAAAGAGGGAACGTCTGCTTGCGTGTCATGAAAATCCCTCGATATTCCGATATCATGTTACTCCGGCGAGGATCAATTTACAGCGATTAAAATTGCACGGATGTTCGTAACCTAATAAATAGGACGGAAATATCGGGTCGAGAACCGCAAATAACTCCCTTATTGATGGAAGCATTAAAGCGGGACGGTTGCAAAGCGGAGACGCTTTATTCTGGCATGCAATTTGGATTGCAAAATGTATTCGAGCTGTGCACGAAAAATATTCACGGTGGTTATTTCTCAACAAACTCGTCTCAACGTTTTCATCATCATCACGCACATACTGTGTCAACATTTTATAAAATATTGATAGTGTTAAGTATTAATATCTAAGTATAAGTGTAACATTAAGTATAAGTATGAATATTTTATACAAAACACTAATACTCACAAAATGTTAGGTAAATAATTCGTGAGATATTAATAGAAAGATCGTATTTGTAGGAAGCAAGCGAAAAAGAAAGAGAGAAAAAATTAGTAGAGAGTGGTCGTCTGAAACCGGTCCGTTTTGCTTTGCAGAAACATCCAGGGTATCATCCAGAGGGAAAGGATCGGCGTATAGCAAAGGCGGCGGCAGTAGGACATTATTATCCGAGGCACTGGCAAACGGCAACACCATCACCCACGATCCGTGCAGTCGTTTGTTGTTGCGCGTAGCCAGTGAGTTGACGCCGGCAACCTGGTACCATCCAGGCTTTCTTCTTAGAGCCACGAGCGACGGACAGGCAGCGTGTATGATCATTGAGGACTACTCCCCTCCGCCCACCAAACCGAGGAGGCAACACCTGCATCAAGATACCACCCAACGATTTCTGAATCACCTGGTCCTGCCGAAACACAGGACTTCAAAATTTTCCAGGTGCGCGTCACGTCGATCGGTCGCGATCAATCTGAAGCCGAATTTTCCTCGGCAGCAATGTCGACACGTCCAGCCTTTTCGAGCCATGAAATAGACAAGGGAATTTTTTAATTAAAGATTGTAATTTAGATCTCATTCCGTAAAATTTGACCAGTGTTATATGGGAAGAATGCTATTTACATAGCACTAGTTCTTTATTTAACGATTTTAACGATAGAAGTGATCGAAAAAACGGAGCTTTTCGCGAACTAAGCTCTGAGCGACCAAATGGATAATAAAATTATTCTCTTTAATTTCAAGTAAATTTTGCTTTGGAATTATAGAATTTTAACATGTCGCTTAAATAAAAGGATGTTATGTTAGAAATTGAAAAGTCATAAATATAACAGGGTTATGCATAAATTACGATATTTTTTGTCTGCGTATAGACAACTATATATGATATTGCATCTGTTATTTATGTAGATATTAATTTATGGCTATTGTTTAAACAGTATGGCTTGCTAAAAAATTAATTAAGAAGAGTTTATATTGTTATCTTGATGTAAATTTATAAAGTTTGTGTTTTAAACAAGTTGGAATTCACAAAATAACTGTAAATAATTTAATTATTCTCTTTGACATATTTTAATATAATTTACAATATTCTACATAGTTTGCTGTCTACATGAACAAAAGGAACCATGTGTTGAAATCTATCCCTGATAATAACTTCTTCGTTAAAGAACATTTTCGTTAAAGAAAAGTGAAATTTTCACAAAGAACAGCGCTACGTAGATTGTAAGCGAGAGATAGTCTATATCTTGTATATTTTATGTAGGTTGTGAATCTTTCTGAAAATTTCGCGAGTCCTGCGACTTTTGGGGTCGAATACTCACGGAGTACTCTTCTGTCGTTACGCTACTAAAAACGACAATCTTGTTTCTTTCAGTAATAGGCATCGGAAGCTACAGCCATTCAGAGAAACGTGACTGGCGTCAGCAGGTAGTGCGGCAAGCCTTACCGCGGATAACGAGAAGAAGCACCCTGACTCGACACGTCACATACAGCTACCAGCGGGTAGCCGCCCACGTCGCCTGGCCACGTCGCCACGCAGCTGTCAAACTGCCGCTGAGGAACGTGGGAAGGAGATCTAGGAGAACGAGGACGAAGACGTTACCCACCTGAAGGAGAGAAGGAGGAGGGGAGGAAAGAAATCGCATAAATCAGGAGCATCACGTTGAAAGAGCTGCTCGAGAGAAAGAAAGAAGGAAGGAAGGAAGGAAGGAAAGTGAGGCCCAATCCTCCCGTCGCCTTTTGTTGAAAACCTCTTCACAACGACGTCGCGTGAGATATTGCTGTTATCCGGAAGGATCGCTAAGCCAGTCAGGAGCAAGAAGCGGAAGCCGTCATCATGGGGAGCGTCAACGTCAACCGCAACATCAGCGATGCCTTCTATCGCTACAAGATGCCTCGCATCCAGGCCAAGGTAGAAGGCAAAGGCAACGGCATCAAGACCGTGATCGTCAACATGGTGGACGTGGCGAAGGCGATTGGCCGGCCACCCACGTATCCCACCAAGTACTTCGGCTGCGAGCTGGGCGCCCAGACCCAGTTTGACTTCAAGAACGAGCGTTACATCGTGAACGGCTCGCACGACGCCACGAAGTTGCAGGACCTGCTCGACGGATTCATCCGCAGATACGTGCTGTGCCCGGCGTGCGACAATCCGGAGACCGATTTGATAGTTAGCTCCAAGAAAGGCACGATCTCGCAGGTATGCAAGGCCTGCGGCCATCATGGCCTCCTTGAGAGTAACCACAAGCTCAACACATACATCCTCAAGAACCCGCCAAGCTTGAATCCGGCGGTGCAGGGCAGCTCGCTAACGGAGGGTAAACGCGGCAAGCGGTCGAAGCGCGCAGCAAACGGCGCCGACGCCGCCGCCGCAACAACCAACAACGTCACCGTCGCCTCTCCGACGACACCAACGACGCCGACCACCGCCACCGCCGCCACCACCAACGGCAACCGGTCTGGCTCCCCGGAAAGCGTACACGACAACGCCGCGGACTTGATGATAGCGGAGCCACCCCCGCGAAATCTGGCGAACGACGAGGAGGACAATGAAAAGTGGGCGACGGACGTTTCGGATGCGGCGGTACGCGCCCGTCGTCAGGACCTGACAGATGGTGCGAAGAGCATGACCATGAGCGATGATCTCGAGAAGAGCGAGAAGGAGCGCATGGACATGTTTTACAAGTTGGTTAAGTCACGCCGCGACGCTGGTCAGCTCGACAACCATAAGGAATTAGTTGCCGAGGCGGAGAGACTGGAGATCAAGACCAAGGCGCCGTTGATTCTTGCAGAACTGCTGTTCGATCAGTCGATCGCCGCCCAGGCGAAGAAGTATCGCGTGTTGCTGTTGCGTTTCACTCTTAACGACATCAAGGCGCAGAGGTATCTGATACGTGGCATCGAGCAAGTCATCGCACTCCACAAAGACGTCTTGATGCCGAAGGTGCCTGGGATTTTCAAGGTGAGCACTTGCGACAGTCATTTTCGGGAGTGCACTCCCAAAGTTTACACGACGGTTTGGACACGTGTTTTTCGTTGAAATTTCCATGATGCGTATGCAATAGTGTGCGTCGCAAAACAATTTAGACTAAATGAACTACGAAGCGTGGTCAATATTCCAATGAGAGAATTTATTTTTGGATAATTTATTCTCTTATTAGACCATTAGCTACGCTCTGGAGTTTATTATGTCTAAACCGTTTTGCGACCTACTGTATTAATATGTAATGACCTTTGACCTTTCCATTACGGGGAACTTCCAAGTTTTGGAAGCCAAGCGAGGAATGGCGCTACATAAATAGAATAGACACGAAATAGCTTACATTTTATTTAAACCTGTATATTTCAGCTCTTATTCTCTCTCTTATCGATAAAAGTGTCTCTAATGCCCGTTTTTATCAACTTTGGTTAACTTAACTGGCTGGTTATTCCAACGGAATTAATCCATCGTATTATTCTTCGATTAAAATTGACAAATGCGATTAGAAATGGGCATAAATGACTGAAAATCAATCAGCTTATAAGCCACATTTAGAGGTACCTTTTAATATTGAATCTGTTCTTTTCAGCTGCACTACTGAATTGGTGCAATAAGTTAGAATGAGAAAAGATATACTTGTCTCACTTTAACTTATTGCATCAGTTCAGCAGTGCAGCTGAAAAGAACATACCAATTGTCTTGACATTGACTAAGTTGACACATCAACTTTATCATACTGATGGCTTCCAGAAGTAAATAAGCTAATATTTTTTTAAACTATATTAAGTTTAAAGTTAATAGCCCTTAAATTATTAACTTAATTTACGTTAAAAGATTAAATTTGTGAATTATTATTAAGAAAAGATCTTTTATTTAAAAAAAAAATATCGATTGTCTTGCATTATTTGTAAGAAAAAATATTGGCGCTTAGAAAAACAAAAGAAATTGTCATTATTTCTTTTTTTTTTATTCTACATTGTTAGTAGCTCGCGATGATTTAAGCATTGGTGAGAGAATTATTTTAACTTGTATAAAAAAATTAATAAGTTAATGTATATTTTAAATAACTAGTTTAAATAACAAAAAATTGATTCGTTTAAAATCAACTAAATTAAGTTAGAAATTATTAACTTTTTAACTTGACTGATTAACTAGTTATTATTCAATGCTGATGACTTATAGTAAAAAGTAAGCATTATTATTATTAAATAAACTTTTATCGATAAAAGAGAGGTTATGAAATAAGGACCTTTATCTTTGATTGTACTAGAGACGTTCAGATACAAAGCCATTCATAATTGCTTTTCTACCTGCAGTTGTTCTACGATGCCGATATTCTAGAGGAGAAGGCGTTCGACGAATGGTCGAGCAAAGTCAGCAAGAAGTACGTCTTGAAGGACCTGTCCCAAGAGATTCACGATAGAGCCGTGCCGTTCCTGACGTGGTTAAAGGTCGCCGAGGAGGAGGAGTCTGAGTCTGAGTCTGATTTGGAAGTGAGTGTCTGGTCGGATGAGATTAGGCTTACTTAGAAATATTAGCCCTATAATCTTGCCTATATATACCGTGTAATACTCATACCAGCTGGTTATTTTACACTTAACATTATCTTTATTTCGACAATACATGTAAATAGTACGTTAAATTGCGTCTTCTCGACGCGCATGTCGAGAATGATTGCGCAGCTCAGTGTGCCATCGTTTGCATACGTTGCCGAGAAATTGAGGTAATTTAGTAAAAAGTTGCTATTTGGTGTGTGCATCAAACAAAGTATAAACAAGCGCTATTCCACAGGACTGGGAAAGGATGCGTTCAGAAAACGCGATGCTTGTGCAAACGTTGAGTATGATTGTTGAGGAATACTTTTAGATCTATGATAAGTCTAAAAAAATGTCTCAATAACAGTAGACACAACCGTTGTGTTTTCTGGACACCCAAAGTTGCTTTTCTCAAAGTCATTTGTTACTGTTTCACGTAACTTCATCTTGCAGAAATAATCTTACTTTTACCTGTTATTTCTGATCACTTTCAATGGGAAGTTACATTTTAAAAATAATTTGTTACCATTACTGTTATTATGAAAAATAACTCTTTACATATTCGTTATCGTCATATTCAAGAAGTAATAGATTATTACAATTTTCTATACTTCGTTTCGCCAAATTCTAGAATTTCTCTTTCTATTTTTAAATTCGCCACCTCCAATCCCATGTAAATGCATTCTATATATATAAAGTTGTGAGAAAAGCAAAGATTATATATAAAGTTATTGTTGCGCTAATAATTAGTTCTATTACCGTTATTAATGGAGGAGAATAACTATGTTACTATGTCGTTACTACCCAATCTTCTGTTTATTTGTCTAAAGTCGGTTTTCTATTACTGAATTAGTGTACACTTTTGGAACTTAAAAAGAGACAGATATATAAATAAAACTTGATGAAAGAAAGATGAGAGAGAACTAGTACAGCCAGTTCAACAATAAAAGATAGACTCTACATTTCACACATCACACATACATATATATTATTGTGTAAGATCAACATATGCCTGTTACAACGTTATCTGTTTTTTTCCAGATTGAGTATGATGATAGAGCCAAACAGCAATCTCTGAAACAGCAGCAACAGCCACCGCCTGTGCAAAAGCCCGCCGCTACCAACGATGACTCCGACGATGACTTCGATATCGATGCTATTTAAAAAACAGCAACAGCACACAGTTGTCAGACGCATACGCAAACGGACGAGAAACATATTAACGTCCACACATACGTAATAAGAAGAATAATCATTTACCCTACATGCAGAAAACACGTGTACAAACACACAAACATACACATACATACACAACACACGTATCACATGTACAACAAACAGAACCGGATACAAAGAGCCGTAAATGCAATATCAAGTTATACGCAAATTATTAGGATTTTCGTTGTTTTAGATCGTTAAACGATGTTACGATGCCATGTATGTGTAAAGAAGAAAGAAAAGAAAGAGAGAGAGAGAGAAAGGGCAAAAAAGAAATTTTAACAGTTTCCGAATTTATAGGAATGTGATTTATCTTTGTACAGTGTGTCATCATATTTTTAATTGTTTTAACGGTGATGCTGTTACGCATTCGCCATGAGGTCGTTATTATTTCATTGAATTACTGATATTATTATCATCATTGAATCTTTTTATTGTTATCGAACCTTTTACATATTTGCTCGATGCGCGTATACCTTGAAAAGTGCATGAGTTCCAGAGAAAAAGAGATAATGTTATAGTTCGTGATACGTTGCTGGATAATTGGCCTGCTAAAAACGTTCTCTATTGTATCTACATTTACTATTCTAATAATTATTCAAATAAATATGGTTTAATTGCAGCAGCCTCCTGAACGTACTTTTCTTTCATTGTGAGGAGGCATAAGAAGTATCATAATTTTTGCACATATAATTTTCTTTCCGGGATTCCGGCGTGTCAAATTTCAAATAATTTTTTTTGTGTTTATAGAAGAAATAATATAATATACTACTAAAGCCCATTAATATTTCATAGAGTTGGGAAATAACGTTTTTTCCATTGTTTTTTCTTCAATGACTAATATAATGAAATATTTTTTTTCATGAATAACAGCAATTGGTCACATCCTTTGGTTACATCCTAGTAGAAGAATCTATAGGGAATGAGTGGCAACAAATCATAAGAAGCTCTTTATGAGTAATAGAATGAGTAACGCTATTAACAAGCAATGACAACAAATTACTTCTAAGTAGAGTCCTAAATAGATAGAAAAGTAACATTAAAAATGGATAGGTGCAATATATTGCAGTCATTTTGTTTTTTATATTCGACAGCCCTGATAAAAAAGTTTATAGAGAACAATAGAATAAAATTTTATCGATTTGAATATGGATTTTGGTTCGTGAATTCACAAATGTGAATAGTATTCTATCGTATACAATAGAATACGATAGGTAGTGATAGAATTTCTATTGTCAGTTTCCTGTATAATACAAATAGAACTAGATAAAATACGATAGGATTTATATCTGATACTCGCGAATGCTGATATTTACGAACGATAGAGCTTATAGAAAACAATAAAAAAATTGATAGAAATTCTATCGTTCTCTATCAACTTTTTTTTTATCAGGGAGACCTAGCCAATGGGATCTAGTCTCTAACTATACTGAAAGAAGATATGTGAAGACAGAAGTCAAGATAGATTAGGGCGGAATAAAAATTTACATAAGTAAAAGCACTTGTCATAATCAATAGCTGCTTGCTTATAACTAACTACATCAAGCTGCAGTTGATGTTACCTCTATGTTCTACTATCAATGATAATTATATCATTAACCTTTATTCGTTCACCATGATAAGAAACAATATCATGAGCTGAATCACATGATTTAATTAGCTAATCAAACAATTTTCCTTATAATGTTGCTTCTCTATTTATTTAGAACTCTACTTTTAAGAAGTAACTTCCAGTTCTGGAATTTGATTTTCTATTGAATGTAGAAAACGAAATTTTGCTAAAATTCGGTCTAGAATACATATTTTTTAATTTGGGAAAAGAATATTTATATTATGTTATCAATGAGGACAATTTGGCAGTAAATACATATTTTTTTTATTTCAGAAAAATACAGATATCTACACAAATTGATAACAAACGCTATAAAATATAAGATGTAGTAAAAAGAAATCCATTATTTTTGCATGAAATGAAGGCTTTATTTAGCATAATTAGAATGATCCGATCTAGGTCAAATATGCACCGTTTTGTTCGATAACTTGTTGCCATTTTGAAGGTAATTCCACTATGCCTCTCTCATAGAAACCCTTGTCCTTATTGGCAAAAAACTGGGACAGTCGATTTTCACAAGCTTCTCTTGAGGCGAATTTTTCACCAGCAAAATCATTCGCCATAGACAAGAACAGGTGGTAATCACTTGGTGCCAGGTCCGGACTATAAGGTGGATGCATAAGAACCTCCCAACCAAACTCCCGGAGCTTCTGGCGAGTCACTATCGATGTGTGTGGCCTGGCGTTGTCCTGATGAAACACAATTCCTCTTCTATTGGCCAAAGCTGGTCGCTTCTGAGCGATTGATTCCTTCAGACGGTCCAATTGTTGACAGTACAGGTTCGAATTAAGAGTTTGGCCGTAGGGGAGCAACTCATAGTGGATGATTCCCTGCCAATCCCACCAAACACACAGCAAAGCCTTCCTGACCGTCAATCCTGGCTTGGCCACCGTTTGCGCCGGCTCACCGCGTTTCGATCACGACCGTTTTCGCTTGACGTCGTCGTAAGTGACCCACTTTTCATCACCAGTCACCATCCGCTGCAGAAATGGGTCGATTTTGTTGCGATTCAGCAGCGATTCGCAGATGGAAATTCGGTCCATGAGGTTTTTTTGCGTTAACTCGTGTGGCACCCATACATCGAGCTTCTTTTTGTATCCAGCCTTA